GAAATAGCTATCACTTCTACCATTTTTTCAAATTATTGTTGCTTTTCACAATAAATTTTCATTTAAAAAACGTCCTCGAGCTCAATATAAATTGTTGAATTAAAAAAATAATAGTTTATAAATTTGAATAAAATTAAAAAAATTAATTGTTTTATAAATTTAATAAATTAAAAAAATAAATTATTTATTGTTAAAATAGTTGCGATAAATTTGAATTCAGCTCTATCTAGCAGCGACCCCCACTACTCCTGCTGTAGTGCAACCATACATATGTACATATAGTAAATTTTGGAAAAGAGCCCACATAATTCTTTTCTACACTTTTTAGCCTTCACTTTAAGCAACAGCTAGCAGTTTTCATACTTACTACACTTTCCTTTCCACATTCGTGGCACACATATGTACTTATATATTTACCTCCCTACCGGCTGACATCACAGCTTAAACTCATTTCAAATGCAATGTTCGTAAACTTAATTTAAAAGCTACGTCAGAAATCACTTCAACTCACAAATTGCCTTACTGACTTGCCAACTGCCATTTTAACCGCTCTCCACAACATCCTTCAATTTCTTCAACTTCGCAGCCAATTATGTGTTGGTCCTGACTGTTGAATGCGGCTACTTCTTTCGGTTGTCGGTCGAAATTACCTACATATGTGCATATGAAATTTATTATGGCTCAAGTTTGTGTAGGCACACATAAACTTCTAAGTATGTATTTATTTGGGCATTAAATATTTATTTGCATATATATATATATATGCCTTCAAGGGCACAAGAGTGTTTGTATGTACATCAGCTATGTTTGTTTACATTTATAATCGGATTGGCAAGTGGAAGCAGAAATTTAAGGTTTCTGTTTTAGCATATTTTTCACAGCCAATGCAACATAAATAACTGATACCCTGCAGGAAATAGCCCGAACTGAGCAGAAAACAAGCAATGGGTTTTCGGATATGTAAACATCTTTGCTTCCGGTATGGGTAAAATTTGCGTTAACCCAGTTGATAATTTGTAACTGCTTCTTGTGTTAAACGGCAGAAAATCTGTAATTTTTCTCATTACAAATAGCCTGTGTTTACTGTTCTTGCAAGTGATTGTACGTAGTATTTGCTAAGAGAATTAAAAAAAGGAAATATAAGTGTCTACATGTTTTCGCTGCATAGTTTAATGCGTATGCACTACAGTAGTGTATTGACAAGAGGCATAGGCGGAGATTTTAAAAATACTGAAATTATTTTCGCTTGGGTTTGGAAAGGAATAAATAAACTCTTTGCACCCGGTAGCCAAAACGAATTCAGAAATAGTACAAATGAAAATAAATATAATTAGCTGTTTTAGCCAGGCTGCTCGTTGATATAGCTTGGGACCTTTTCTTGACCATTTCGGTTCGGACTAGTTCGGGATCTGGTTCATTACTTTTTCGGGAGTAGTACGGAACTTGTTCGGAATTTTTTCGGGCCTAGTTCAGGACCAGTTGGGAATATGTTCAGGTCTTTTTCGGGTCTAGTTCTAAACCATTCCGGTAAAAGTTCTGGGCTTTTTTAAGACTATTTCGTGGCTAGTTCGATGATAGTTGAGGACTTTTTCGGGACCATTTCAGGTCTAGCTCAAGAGCATTACATATCAAATTGCATGTGTAGCTGGCACTCAAAGATTTTGTTAGCCAATCTTAGGTTTCATATGGAGGGTACTTGCATTGCTAGTATGATCCGACTTGTCTGCATCTTTGTTATTCCACCCCGGAGGGCTCAGGCGACTCTAGCTTCCTCGCTACTCTCTTCATTGCTGACCCCGTGTGACCACTAACTTAAAATGTTTTTTCGGAGATAAGTTTTTATTTTTTAATCAAAGTTACATTTTGAAGTCAAAGTTACATTTTTTTAAGTTAACGATAATAAAGAACTTTAATATTTGTAGAAGCTCGGCCAAACACTAACATATGTGTAAGCGCCAATCTATAATAATATTTGTAGTAATACACACCTTGTATTATTAATTTCTTACACTCTTTTTCAACACTTTTTTTGGGGTCACTCCAGACCCCATGCAAGTATTTGTGTGATATAAGGCTTAAAAACCCCGCTCTTTCCATCCTCCGTCTTTTACCACTGAAAAAATTGAGGTTTAAGAAATTGGTATCCTCTCGTCCACACCCCTCGATCTAGAACTTTTTTTCAAAACATAATGGCGCATATTCATAGTCATATTTAGTTCACAACTAAGTCGAAACTATCCTAAGTTACAACTAAAGCTATTCATAGTCGCCTTAGTTTCGACTTTTCTGGCTAAGTACCAACTTAAAATTTAGTTTCGGTTGCAGCTGCAATTAAGTCGTAACTAGGAAGAAGTATTTTATTAAATTAATGAAAAAAATACGAAATTTGTAAAAATTAAGTTGGCAGAGCGTGATTTTGATAATATTGAATGATCTCCAATTAAAATTTACAAAGAGCGATCCATTTGAATCGGAAGATGATATTAAATGCGTATTACAATTCGAATAAGGCTACAACACAATTTTATAATTGGAATGATTTACATACATATATAAATGCTCAAATAATAAGTCTATTTCAAAGCTTTTCTTTTAGAGAAAATTGGTGCATAACATTTAGATATGTGTTTGTATGTTTCACAGCATGCTTTCGATAAACATCGACTTCACATCATTGCGGTAGTTCTGGCTATTTCACACAATTAACAACAATTAACAAGAAACTTATACCTTACTCGTTTGCTTAAACATGCGATGAAAGTAAAAGTTACATAAACGGATGATCGAACTTGACATTATTTAATAAGAATGTCATTTTTCCAAAATATCGTAAAGAAAAATCGATAAATTTTCACACTCGTTTTGCAATATCGTAAAACTAAGTTAAAACTACTAAGTAGAAGTCTGAAATGCGACTATGAATAGAAGTGAATTTTAAGTTGGTACTTCAATTTAAGTTGCAACTTTATTAGTTTCGACTTAGTGGCTGGACTATGAATACGCGCCAATTATTTTAGCAAGAAGTCTGTGAGAGTAGAAGCTGGCAATTGGTTTGAAGTAAAATATCCATATTATATTTGGCGAAGCAATCGTCCACGAGAAAAATTCCTTTAAGGGCCGTTTTTCCCATATGAGAAATTTTGGTATCACACTTTCGATTTTCTTGAATTTATTTTTATTTTTTTGTTGGTTTTATGTATACGTAAAATAACCTAGATATTCATGGTTATCCTAAAACTCTCCTATCTATAAACAGTTGAAATTTTTGAAGTTGGTTTACATAGTGAAGACCAGTAAATTAGGGATTTAAAATCATACCATGGTAATTCTTGTTTAATTATCTATAAAAATCATACTTTAAAAACATGGGGAATTTTCAAGAACAATTTTTAAAATGTTTTTTTTTTTCAAGATCAGATGTTTTGTTTTGAGAAATTCAAGAACTTTTTGTTATTTGTTTTCGAAAACCTATAATGAGATATACTTAGCAAGGTGTTAAAAATTTAAAAGTACATGATTAGTCAGAACGAGGAAAAATTCGAAATTTAACAAATTATATCTGCGAAGAAAAAAAATCCTCGAATACGTGTTAGCTTATTTCATGTATGTTAAGAACCCATAAAAAAAATTTCAAGCGAATCTCTGGTATAATATTATTTTTTTACGAAATCCGTCTGACTTAAAAAAGAGTGCCTCATTTTTTTTTAACACTAACGTCGATAACGATGTTTTACTGGCGATTAGTGTTTACAGGATATGGTGAAAAAGTGTATGAAATTTAGCAGGCAATTAAGCACTAAAGTCCCCTCTCGACGAACACAAAACAACATTTTATTCGTAAGTCGAACATTACTATTAGAAAAATATATTAAAATTAATGAAGAACGTAATATTTATTATAAAAAAATCGTCGAAAATACTTCGTATGTAAGAAAATGCATAACTCGTCAGCAAAAAAAAAATACCTAAAGTCAGCGACAAGTCCTAGCTATTTCAAACTTGCACTTGCTAAAATCGAATAGGATACAAAATTGTATATTCAAATTTTTTCTAAGAGATTTAATTTAAAAAATTTAAATTCTTTCAAAAGTTTGTTGAATGCTATAACTTTAACTTTTATTTATTTTTTACCACGCCATTAAGATATGAACATTCACTAGAATTTTCTTCCCACGTATCTAATGAAATTTTTCTTCTTTATTTCAGGAGATTTCGAGCAGAGTACACGTAAAATGGGCTCACTGCAATAAAAACTAATAAAGCAGTAATTGCAAATGAAAAGTTGTTTAACCGAATAAATTATCAGCAGAAGCTCAAACTAACTGCTACTTTACACGTTGTGAAGAAAATGTTAATAAAGTCAATAAATAAATGTGTAACTATGTACATCGTCAGCAAATGCAAACCAAAAATATGCAGGTACATAAATACATAAATTTAAACCATTAAGATAAGAGATTTGTCGTGAGTATCTAGATACTTAAACCCCGTGAAAATAAAAGAAGATAAATCCCAGTGCCAGCAAACCGAACATGACTCCTTCACCCCAGTGTATTCAATTTGTTTGCCACTTTTCCCGCATATGTCGCACGCAATCAATATTCCGCCAGTAAGCACAAATGTCCGGCCAATACCTCCGGACCTCAATTCAAACGTGACACATGGCTATGTACTATTATGCTAGTAAAATATCGGCAATCGCTTGTGGTACACGTTGCAGACAAACAGTTTTACAAAAATCGCGCGGACAACGTGATCGTGACAAATCTGGACGGTCGGCGGACGATGACAATAATGTTGGCGGCCGCAGTGGTGTTGGTGACAATGGTGCGGATAGGGATGATGATATTGGTGTTGGTGTTGGTGGGGACATCGGCATCGATGGCGATACTGGTATGGCCATATATACGACGTCCGCTGAAAATGCGTTGGCCGAGGCAATGGCAGCGGCGGCGGCGGCGGGGACGACGACGACAAATGGCGACGGAGTGCGATATCGGCGCAGACACAGCGAACAGTTGGATGCGTACGATTTGGAATTGGGGTTTCAGAAACTCGAGGTAAGTTTGAGAGAAAAAAGTAGTAACTTAAAAAAAATAGTGTTTTGCTTTAAAAGCTGGACTTTTGTAACGTTATAGCGTTTGCAATTTCGTGTTAAACCCTTTTTTGTTTTTTGTTATAACAACGTAAAATTTTTCGATACATTTTTTCGCAAAAAATTTGCTATAGGTCTCTTTGAAGATCTTTGTAAAATTGGCAGTTAGAGAGTTAAAATGTTCTGCAAAAATACTTAAGGCGAATTCATATTGTAGTCGATTGGTTACCTCTGCTTCAACCTCGTCCAGAAAGACTTTGCACTTACACGTGTCCTGGTTCTTTGCCAACGTTCGATGATCTCACACAATACCCATTTCTCAAATAGTTGTCCAAACGTTGTCAACGGGACTCCAACAATCTCTTTGCTGGATGACACCGCACACAATTTTCTGCAACATTACTGGGGCTTGGCCTTTGTAGTTGCTCAAATATGGCTGAAACTGAAAAGTGGTCAGGCATTGCCCAAATAGCCTTGAACGTAGCTCGAGACCAAGTTAACCCGAGGACCTGATTTCCGCAAAAATTAATAGTCAATCAACTATTTCTTTAAGGACAGATATTTTGCATACCAAATTTGTTTATTAAATATATTTATTGCCTCCCTTCAACTACTGTCCGCGCTATTCGCTTATCTCTAGATGGTATGTTTATTTATTTATTTACTTAGTACGATCTAATAAATGCCAGCCTAGCCACGCGGTGATCCCTGATATCACCGAGAGTGTCCAAACCGTGATTTAGTCAAGCACCCGGTCTGACTTCAACACTTGCCCTACCAGCTTAGCTACGATGTCGAAAGGCAAGTATGAGATTAACAAATATAGTGGGATTTGTTGTAAGCGCGCCATTGATTCCAATAGGGGCGACCTATTGCAACCGCTCCAGAAGTCTTCTCTAATGTACTCTTCTATAGAGCGAGCGTTTTTCTTCACAAAAGATCATGCACTTCACTAAGTTTTCACAAGTCCCAGCAGGGCAATTCTGGCTTAGGCTAATCGCATAGTGGAACGGCGAGCAAAGCGACGAGCATTCATCATTCAAACTATCTTTCCTACTGTGTTTAAATTTTTTTACAAAAGACTCAACTAGCTAAGGCTAAGCGTATAGTGGAGCGGCGAGCAAAGAGCATCAAGCAAAGCGTTTCACAATGACTTCCTTCATTAGAAAAAATGGGTAAGACAAAATCTTTAAAATAAGCAACAAAGAGGTGGTCACGTTTGAGAAACCTCTTTCCTTTTTTTTTGCTACCGACTACTACGGGGGTTGAGACCCTGAAGACAACCTCTTCGCAGCCTAAGTTTATGACCTTTTTAGCATTGGTGAGAAGGCTGAGGGACTTTGCATTATGCAGTATCAATGGAGGCTGATAGAGCCTCGATCTTCTTGATCCTGATAACCCACTTGTCCTGTGACAAAGGATGCTTACTCGACCAGAGGAATTCCAGTTAAGCCATAGAGGCTTGCTCATTTGTTTTAAACGTCTTAACAGGTTTGATTGATTGTGCTGAGATTTTGAATAAGAATTCCGCTCAACATTCCCGTCAGAAACTTACGACATACCTGACATGTTTTTTGTGTATAGATTTAAATTTACTTATGCTCTTAATGCACCGATTAGGCGTATTCTGAGAGAGTTAAATGAATTCAAAGACATTGATCTCTCACTACCAGGAGTGATATTAAAAAATTTAGTCTTAACATATATTTTTAACTAATAGATACTAGTTTTATTGCATAGTCGGTAAGAATATTGTGTTGTATTCCTGGACTGTTTGAATAAATGAAATGAAATGAAAATAAGTATTTTTATAGTGCACTACTTTAAGCCCACCTATAAAGCACCAAGTATAAATATACAAAAAAATCTGTTAATCTGTGGTAATCTATGGTAATAATATAGTTGTTTGTAAAATGGGTGTAATACCTATTTTATAAATTGCCTTTTTTTATTGAAAAAATTTTGAAATTTTTATATTAATTAGAGTTATAAAAAAAGTTCCAACGAGTACAGCAATTTCTCTTCAATAGTTCGAAAATCCAACAAATTGCAAAAGGAAAAATATCACGAACTCGTCCCTCCCTTTTCCCCCTTCATTAAATCGTTAATTGGGACGACTCGAGAATATAGGAGGACAACAATTTTTAATCCATATGTATTTAACAGATTTCAATGAAATTTGGTATCCAGGGGTTTTCGTTGCCAAAGATTTCGAAATTGATATCAAATTTTCAAAATTCAAAATAGCGGATACAATATGGCGGAAGATATCTTACAAAATGTATGAAGCTTGGTATCCAGAGGTTTTCGTTGTCACTGGTTTCGAAATTGATATAAAATTTTCAAAATGACGGATCCAATAGGGCGGACCTCTTTTTTTTAATTATACTAGTTTGTTATGAAACTTGGTATTCAGAGATCCTCGTTATATTTGTTTACGAAATTGAAATTATATTTTCAAAATTCAAAATAAGTTCAAATGGTGCTCATGGTAATGCATTGCGTTAAAAGTAAAACGCATATTGTTCGGAACACCATATTTGATCCGCCATTTTGAAATTTTGAAAATACATATAATATCAATTTCGAAATCAGTGACGACGAAAGGCTCTGGATACCAAGCTTCATAACAATCTATACATTTTTTAATAAATCTTCCGCCATATTGGATCCGCAATTTTTAATTTTGGAAATTTAATTTAATATTCGAATTCAGTGACGACGAACGTCCCTAATTACCAAATTTCATTGAAATCTGTCAAATACATATGGAGTAAATACCAAGCTTCATAAAAATTTATACAGTTTTGAAGAAATCGTCCGCCATATTGGATCCGCCATTTTCATTTTTTAAAATTGAATATCAATTTCGAAATCAGTGACGACGAAAAGCTCTGGATACCAAGCTTCATAACAATCTATACATTTTTTAATAAATCGTCCGCCATATTGGATACGCCAGTGTGATTTTGGAAATTTAATTTAATATTCGAAATCAGTGATGATGAAAATCCCTAAATACCAAATTTCATTGAAATCTGTCAAATACATATAGAGTAAACATTTTTGTCGTCTCATACTGTCGATTCGTCCCTATGTGCACTGTAGGGAAAATCTCAAGTTTTGAACGACAACTTAATTTTGGGTCGTAGATTATGGTTCTGTGCACCGTTTTTCCAGATCAGATAATTTTCACAAGATATTTAAAAAAAAAGTAGAATTTTTTTTGTATTTTGTTTTCATTTTGATTAAGGTTTAGTTCAGTCAACACGTCAACAAAAGCGAATATATTTTGTTTTTGTATTTTCCTTTTCAGCTGATGGTCACTTTGCCACCTATAAGCATTAAAAAATTCCTGAACAAAAATTAGTTGCGTTGGCTAACATATTAGGTTACGTTACGCAAATTAAGTCTAGACTAACTGAACCTTTAAAGCTTGTTTTTTTGCCAAAAAATTAAGCTACTAACGTTAAAAATTGATGCATCTTTTAAATGGTCAAAATAATTTTGAATGAAATAGTAGTTGGAAATAATCGGCCCTATTGTGGTTGTCGGCGTCGACGTTGATATAATGTTTTCATCAAATAATATCCCTCGTAAGTCCAACTACAGCTATACTGTGGTCAGCGTAACCGGATTTGGACTGATGAGGGTTGTTTTATTGGCGAAAAAATTAAATCGAAGTCGACGCCGCCAACTATAATAGGACCGAATATTACTCATACGCCATGTCACACCTAACCCTACTTATACATACTCGTACATATGTAGATAGCGTAGGAGTAACATGGAACAAAGAACCGTTGCACCTCGGAGGACCAGCAGATCCGTCTTTTCTCTGCCAACAACTGCAGCGCCAACCAATCTCAGATTTTTGTTGCAAAAAAGCCAGTTTTTCTTTACTAAGTACCAAGTATTCAGGTGGAAAAGGCAATTAATTTCGTCGAAAGCCAATTGGTTATAAAAGCAGTGGAATCGGAAGTAGTAAATTCAAGCCATATACAGGAATGTCGCACCCTGTTGTATCGCAAGGTCAGCTCAACTTCAGCCTTTTCTAGATTAAAGGACATAGCATCTGGAAGGTGACGAGGAAGCGGATGAGATGGCCTGCTATGGCCCTAAGATGCCAATAAAAAAGGTAGAAACCTAAACTACGATTAGGAGATCACATCAGGAAATATTTAAGTAACTTTTGCAACGAATAAGATAGTTATGAAATCTTAAAGTCATAGCGAAAAATGGAAAGCCTTCTAAAATACTTGAGGTTACGCTTATTTACCGGTGTTTGTTTATACTTCAAAATTTTACAAAATTAAAAAAATTATTACAAAGCAATTTGTACCTTTTAATATATTATTTGTAGCCAAGTTCACTGGACGGCAAGCTCGATCAGGCACCACAAAATATGTAAATATAATTATTTTTCCAACATTTGCTGCTGTCACATATGTATATACATACATATATGTAAGTATGTACATATCTCGAAAAAACCAAGCGCAAACATTCTAACAACTCAATTAAAAAGCTGCCTACAAATATTGACCCTAAAAGCTCAGAGAACTGTTTCATGCATACTTTCAGGCGCTTATGCACATTCGTATGAAATCGAGTTTTGGTAATATGTATGTATGCATACTATAAAATTCCCTTGCAATTTTCATTAGTAAATGCACGAATGTGTAAAAATATGTATTTAATTTTTTTGTATGTACTCTGTTAATATTTGCTAAAGTTGTTAATGGAAGCTTGGTAGAGCCCGCCTGGCTGTAATCATCTACCGAATGGAGTTATAAACTTTAAATGTACATAAATAAATATAAATGTATTTATGTATGTTTATGTATACCGTACGCCACAAAGTTGCCTCTTTGCCAGTTGTGTAAATACCAGCAAAACTTTCGACTACATTCCAACATATTCAGTTTGCACCACGATGTACAGTTATACATAGTACAGATGTGT